ACTTCCACATCGATCAAGAACGATCTACTCGTCTGATCGTAACTACGCTTAATCTACCTGTCTTTATAATCGTTCATTCCACTTATCAACGTATCCTTGCCTCGTCTGGCACGAACCGTATATCATAATCTACTTTATCACACAAGGCTGTCTCGATCCACTTCGATCCAGAGAGCTGTAACCGCTCTATTCTACTCGCCTGGCCACTGTTTCGAGATAGCTACGCGTCTCGCTCCGAGACAATCGAGCCGGTTTTCCCCTCCCTCCGCCGTGGAATATATACGCGGCACGATGGAACGCGAGGAATCGATTATTACTGGTGGCTGGCACCTGTACCATGCCGACGTGTTTCGCGCGACGATCCATTACCCAATTAACAGGGGAAGATTAATCGTGGAGTAGGCGAGCGTTGGGATTATAAGCCGTTGGCAAATAAGAAAACGACGAAAACGAGGCGAAAGTCGCCAAGGGTGTCAAGGTTGGACGATTTGGCCTCGAGCTAGCTACGTCGTCCGGTCGGATGATTTACTCCTACGTCCACGTCGGGAAACTATTCCTACTGGAACACGGAACGATGGAAATTCCATGCTCGATCCAAAAAACTTGGAAACCTCGAAACTAAACTTTCTTCCCCCTCCTCCTGAATTTATTTATTTATTTATCGGGAATAAATTTATCGGATATATTATATAAGAGGAACAGTTATCGTTCGTGATCGATACCTAAAATAAATTTGTCGGGGAACAGTGATAAAGAATTGGTTCGTGAGTTTTGCTAGAAGAGGGCGGTGAGAGAAGTGTAGAATTTCTCGAGGAATACTCGACGCGGAATAACCACGGCAACGACTGTGCCACCGTGGAGGAGGGGGGGAAAAAAGCAAGGTAGTACCAAAGTAGTTCTATATATAGATATCGCAGTTGATGACGAGAAGCTTTTTTTTAACCCCCTCCCTCCCAATGTTAATGCTCGACTCGGAAACCGTGTCAAGGACAATCTCGATCGGTCGACACTTCCGTAACTTTCTTCGGCTCATTGGAAAACGTTGGAGTTTCGTTGGATTTTTCGGGATTGAAGAGGGAAGGGAGGAAAAGGATAGGATAATTTCATCCATCGATGGAAACTCGAGGGGAGGAGAGACAACGGGCAGGTGGTGGGTGTTTCACGGAGTCGAGAGTGTTCGTCAAAGTCGTTCTCGACGCGGAAGAGTGCACTTTCCCCTGAAAGCCGGAAGTTCACGTCTCCTCGTCGCTACCCAGAACTGAATGGAAGGGTTAAGGAGCGCGGCAGACTCTTTTCCCCCTCCTTCTTCTTTTCTTTCTTTCTTTTTTCTTTCTTTCTTCTTTTTCTTTCTTTATTCAGCGCAATTGATTTCACGCGTTTCCCTGTCTTTGAACCGATCGCGTTTGATGCTTTCTCCGGCCGAAAGACACGGAAGACGGATTTCGATTTTTTCTTTCCCTCTCTCTCTTTCTGATGCAACGAAGTAAGCATCGATTCGAAGACGATTCGATAATGTTATATATACACGTACAAGTAGAAGCGTTCAATAATAGTGGCCTTGAGCATGAAATATATACAGCGTATCGATTCGACTAATTGAAATTCTCTTCGATATACCGTGATTCTTAAACAACACAAGCATTCGAATTTTCCCTCCCTTTCTCCCTCTCTCTCTCTCTCGACCCACGCGAAATCTTCGAACGAGCAATCTTTAAAGAGCTCTCTCGAAAAACGAACAGCTTTCGCCCACAGCTTATGCGTTTCATCGTGACGACGATATACACGTGATAAGGGGTTGGGGAAATGGTCGATTCTCGAGGAGAGAATGGAGAGGGATGAATTAAGCCGGTCGGGGACGGTTAATTTCAAAGCCAGTAGCTGGCCGTATCCCGATTGAATTTCCATGCCTAGGAAATCGGGGAAGATTGTGGGTTGCGGAAATGGAACTTCCGGATTGTTCCCTCCGTCCTGGCTCGCCCCTCTAAACGCGTTTTCGATCCACGCCGGCTCGTATACGCGTTTCGTTAGGACGCCTCTAATTACGAACGCGAGTGAAATCAACTGCCGACCCGGCCTCGGTCGAGAAACGCGGGGAAAATTATCTCGTTAGCGGGATCTCGTGGAAAGAGTTGGAAAGAGTGTTCTGTGTATATATATATGCACACATCGAGGGACCGGGAGAAATTGCGGATCTCTAAATTAGTTTTCCAACCGTGCGGGGTTTTTTATTCCCTTCTCGGGGCGGATGACGCGTTTCACGGCGTCCATCGGGGATGATAATGAAGTTTTCATTTATTGAAAGACTTTTATTATTCCTCATCGAAAAAGGGATCTAATCTCTGTTGAAGGATTGCAATTGTCAAATGTTCATTGGTTGTTGCTGTTTGAGAGTTATGTATCGTATACGTATGAAGATTGCGTTATAGTTATATTATATTATTGTAACGTGTGCGTATAATGAAGTTTTTATCGAATATTCTCTCAGATTTTTTATCTTGGAGAATTGAAAAGAGAGTAACTGGATAATTGTTAATTTCTTTATTCCTCGAGAGTTGTCGAAGATTTTGTTTTTTTGTTATATTATATTATATTATATTGAAAAGTGGCTGGCTGGATAATTATTAACATCTTTATGTATCTTGAGAGTTGTAGTTGTGTTATTGTTATATCATATTATTGTAACGTGTGTGTATGATGAAGTTTTTAAATTATCGAAAGAGAATGATATGGAATATTCTCGAGATTTTTATCTTGGATTGAAAAGAGAATAAGTGAATAATTATTAATATTTTTATTCGTTGAGATTGACATCATCGAAGATAATTTTATTTTAATTTGAAACGAATGTTTCGTTATTATTATTATATTATTGTAACGTATGAATATTTTTAATTATTGAAAGAGAACGATCGAGAGTATTCTTCGAGATTTTCATCTTCGAGAATCGAAGAGAGACTAATTGATAAGATAATTATTATTAACTCCTTTATTCCTTATAGAGTTATAATTACGTTACGAAAGATTTCACAGTGAAACGAATGTTTCTTTTTTGTTATTATTATATCATGTTACTTTAACATTTTTTTTAAATTTTCATAATTTTTAATCGGAATAACTTCGATTTTGAATAGCATTATTAAACTTACAAAATTTCTTCGTTTCAATTTTCGTTAAAATCTGATTTCCACATTGTGATAAGCCGCGAATAAATTAATTGGCAACAAGCGAATATCAGACGCGATAACCACAACAATATCGATCTTAATTAAAAACTTAAAAACTCGACATATAACCTCTCTCTCTCTCTCTCTCACAACAAACTCCTGCATTTTCATTGTAATATATTATAATCTTTTTTCGAATAATTAAACGATTAATAATAAACAATGAATTCGAACTAAAGCAGTGCAAGATATTTTTGTATATCTGAAGAAAAGATATTTTATTACGAATACTCCTCGAGAAAATTTTAAACGCGAGATGAAGGGCAGACGGAGGGCGAAATAAAGGGAGGAATTTCGGGCGTCGATCGAAAGCAAGCAATCCGTGTATGTCGCTTGCGTCATGCGAACGTACAGACAGAACAAGGATCGAGAGAAGGGAGGTGGAGGACGCGGTGGTTGATGTCGATTTCGTACGTGCAAGAGGGGGGAGGGGGAGAGGCGCGCGCGATTGTTCGCCGCGATTGAAATCACGCGAACCTTTACTTAACGGCGAACTTGCCAGGATTTCGAGAGCGTGGATATATCCACCGTGCCAAGATGCCATCTTTATCGAGCTCTAAGGTTTGCCCCTTAGTGCTTCGCTTCAGACCTTCCTCTTAAAGGGGTGAGTTTCTAATGGAAATTCTCCACCGTGAGACCGTGTATATTCGAACGTGTAATTTTCCTGGGATGACATCGGCATTCACAACAAAAATAAAAGGGGAAAGGGGTGGGGTCGAGTTCCGAGACAAAATTTTCTTTTCAATCTTTTTTTCCATTCGCTGATAATTATTGGCGAGAAGAATAACATAAGTTGAGCAAAATTATATTACTTAATCGCGAATCATGAATTGATAAAGAAGAAAAGAGATTTGATTATGAATATGATCGCGAAAACCGGTTAAAACTTTATCGAACATTAAAAAAAAACAAGAGAAACGTTTCTGATAAATAATAAATTGTATCGCGAATTAGCTGTGATCTCATAGGCAGATAAGCCAATGATATTTACGACAGTATTACGGACAGTATTATACTCGCGGTATCGTTTGAGACAGCAACGAGCCACTGCTAAATTCTTTTTCGTTCGTCGCCAATGCGTACAATCCAACTTTTTCAATCGAACTCTCAACTTTTTCGACCGAACTCGTCGATCGACCGAACCTCTTAATTACCCAGTTTTCTCTTACTTCGTCCCACGACTCGTGACGTAATCGGAAATATCAATCAATATCGATCAAGGTCGATGACGTGGATCGTCAAACATAGCGAAACGCGTGACAGGTTCTCGATAGCAACGTATCGAAGGTCGTTGTCGATTCTCCCCGAACGAGAGGACGATCGTAAACCCAGATAAGGTCGTTGTTGATCCCATGTTGCGCGTACGGTGAACCGACGTGCTTTTATTCATCGGTTTATCGTTGCATCCACGATAGGCCGTGTTGATAAAGAACGGGGAATGGACGCGAAATGGTCGATGATGAAAAGTCGCTCGTTAAACAGGGAGATGAATGTATCGAGATCTGAACTTTGCTCCACCTTCCACCGGGATCCTTTGTGTTTCTCGTCGAACAGACGTATCGATTTTTAAATGAAAAAAAAACCTCTCCTCCGCCCCTGAGAATTTTCGATTATTTTTCGATCACCGTTATTCTTCTCCTTCCCCTCCCCTCCCCGCACCTCTTCTCGCGACTTTGAATTCCGTTAGCACGACACGCTCTATCGTTCTATTCCTTGGCGAAACCTCGTTAAAGGGGAAAGAAAGAAACACCTTGTTCACGATCACCTTGTTTTCAGTTTACGAGCTTTTACGCGAACTCGGGGGCTATCTACCGCCGAAGAGCATTGCACCGGTCGACATAACGCCCCTAGTTTCGAGGTTGTTGAGGGTGAACGGCGCCCCCCTCTTCGACTTCTTCGTCGACGTGGATCTTTACGACCGGTCTAGATCGTCCGTCTTCTTGGATCTGCCTACGAAACGTCAAGAAGACGCTTTCTTCGCGGAGAATCCGGTGAGTGTACCCCTCCCCTCTCCCTTCCCCTCTCCCCAACATCTCTTCACACATACACACAAGTAGATCTACTTTACTATTAGCCTATAAATGTAACGTATCTCTCAACTTTCGACTATCCTCGTACGTCTGTAGAAAAATGATTCCTCCCTATCCCAAAAATTCGAGACAAACTTTTTCAAATCGTTCGTTTCACCGATACGCTTTTCATCACACCTCGATGTTCAATGCATTCCCGCACGATCGTTCAACACGATTAAATCTCTTATCGAGGACTCCGAGAGCTAACCGAGACTCTCGAGGTCGAGGCCAACAACATTACTCATCGGCTGCTATCCGAATTGCTATCCGATATATATACAAAGTATCGAGAATCACAACGAATCAGTCGAGAAATGATAGCAAGAGTGAGAATTTTTGACCGAGAATGCTGCTCGATTTTTTTTTTTCTTTCTTTTTCAAAAAATCGATCGTAAAGTTCTTTCTATGAAGCAGCACTTAATCACACGATCTTATCATCCACATTCTACCTCCTCAAGTGCACGCGCACCATCAAAGTTCGAGTTTTCTTCGAAAAGAAAAATTCTCGTTTCCAACACGCTTTTTTGACACGCTTTCGCACCGTTTCGTTTTTTGTTCGCACGATCTTTTTTCTTCTTTTTTTTTTTTTTTTTATATACTTTTTTTATCTCTCTGTATAACCCACGCAGCAATTTTCAATATTCCACGAGATTTCCATCTCGAGTTTTCCGCGAGCGTGCACAACGAAATTTCTAAATCTGTTCAATCTCGGCGGCGTTCATCGATTTTGGAGGGAAATTAACGGCCGAAACCCCCGCGTTTGCATCCGTTATCAAGACTCGGGGGATGAATACTTCTCGGCTATTAATAGATAGCACGATTAAACGGAGGGGCCTCGGTTAATTCAAGCAAATGTGTGGCGCGAGTTTCGACACGCGCGCATAAATCCTTGGCTTTTCGTAGAAATTTTCCTAAAAACCTGCTAAGTGGCTCGAGCTCGATTTTTCACCATTTCGCTTCTCATTATTCCTTATTCAATCGACCCGTTTAATATCAGGCTTAACCACGATTTAGTTTAAGCTGGCGTATACGACGACGAGTATTTCCGGATCGATCAAAGATGGATGGGTTGGGGATCTAACATTACGTTTCCATGATAGGAAATGTGAAAATCGTGAGTCGATGGATGTTTAATTAATACGGATTGATTTAACGATTTAAATATTGTTATTTTTGGAAAGAAGTTTCCTTCTTGATGATACGTATTTCAATATTTATCCGTCAGATTTAGAATTAATTCGTATCTAGCATTTTGTCACGGTTGTTTCATAAAACTGATCATCTTCTTCGCCATCTTTTCACAGAGTTCGAAGGAACAATTTCAAAGAATAAAAAAGTATAAATGCAAAAAATATCGATTCCACGTCCATAAAAGGTAAAGAGATGATAATAATTCTCGTCGTTTGCTTAACATAGTTTCCAAAGGATTCAAAAAAAAAAAAAAAAAAAATATCGATCCCAGGATCGTATTCCATCCATAAAAGGGAGAGATTAATCATAATTCTCGTCGTTTGGTTAATCTTAAGTTGAGAGAGGATCGATATCGAAGGAGATCGTAAAAGGTGCAAAGACATTGGCAAGAAAAGTTTGCAACTTTATCACAGCCAAGAGCGACGATGAGCGTGGGTGTATCGAGCCTCGTTCTCAAAGAGGTGAACGTGTCGGGCATTAATTATTACAATCCCGCTCTTTCAACTGTTTTCCAACGGTCATCACGTCGATGATTCGTGTTCGGTAAACTTTCCTCCAACTTTATCTCGAAACCACAATTTATTATTAAACAATTTATTAACACGATTTTCATTCTTTCTTCCGCGAAATAACTATAAACAAATCCAAATATACACTGGACAATTTTAAATTAAATCATTTGATTCTCTGCTCGATTGAATTGCAGTTGAAAGATCAACTTCTCGTTCTTTTTGCTCCCTCTTGAAAATATTTTCTCTTAAAAATATCCAATATCGTTTCCGAAATATTCGATCGATTTGAAATTCGAACGAGAAAGTATCGAGAAAGATTCGAGGAGGAAGATGGCGGCGGGCAACTCGACGAGAAAATTTTCTGACCGGAATCGGATTATCCGTCGAATTTTGGATGCTAATTACAAGGAAGAAGGGAGACGAAATTGCATCGGGGAAACTTATTGGGCCGGAAGAGAGCGAGGCCGCTTTTTAGATTAAACAGTCCTCCAAGCTCGATCAGGGAGAGACGTTGTGATTAAGTTTCTCGTTCGAGTTTCGCGATACTTTCCAACTTCCGCATTGTTCCGAGCAGGCTACTTGGAGGCCGTAATTTCATCATCGATTAAATTGTCGGCCTGTGAAGATCTTCGAGAACCTCTCTCTCTCTCTCTCTTTCTCTCTCTCTCTCTGTGAACCACACAGGGATACGCAAGTATTGTAAGCATATATAAGTGGCGAGGAAATTCCGGGAAACGATCTCGATGCGCGAAGAGATCTCCAGACCTCTTCGAACCTCGTCTTTCAATGCCCCCTTCGAGTCGAGGGTTTCCCTTCGAGTGGTTTAACTTTGCCCCAAACAAGATCTTCGATTGGTCTTTCTTAATACCCAAAAATCCTTCCTCCTTCTCGAAAACGGGAAAAGTCGAAAAACCGTATATGAGACCATCCATTTTATATATATATATAGCATCGAATATACACGACGTTTCAAAGAGGAAACGACGTCCAAGAAAACGAGCGCGGAGGAGGGATTAATTATGGGAGCGATAAATTAAGGGAGAGCTATTGACCGCGGAGAATAAAATTTCCTTTTTTTCTTTCCTCTTCTTAATAAAAGGACTTGTATCGAGGTTGAAAATGGGGCGTTGATTCGTTGGAAGTTGCGGAGAGGACAGGAGTCCCGATGGATGTACACGGCTCCCATCTCGACGCGTCCACCCCTTTTGTCCCGCCAACCTCCTTGCGATTGTGATAAGAGCTTAAGGCCGAGAGGATTTTAATACTTAAGCTCGACAAAAGGGTTCACCGTCGTGACGACACTTTAACTCGCCTGTTGGTTGAAAAGAATGGCCGACTGGCACATCGGGGAGGAAGAGGGAGAGAGAAAGAGAGTATTATTCCCTTCTTTTTCGCGCTCTCGTCGACACGAGTTTGGCTCAGTTTCATCGGTGTTTCGTCTTAACGACACCGTAATTCACGAGCTCTTTTCAACAGGGAAGACTACCTCGTCGTGTTCCAAGATTCTTTTCGTGCATTATATTAATTTAGATACGGGAAAATTTGGACGCTATCCTTTTCGAATTCTCATACTCGACGACGAGAAAAGACGAGTTCAAAATGGAAGGATAATTGAGTACGTAGCCTCTACTCGGGCAAACGTTTCCAACGTCCATTTTACGCTGATAATCGTGCGAATCGTGCCATCCAATCTATTTCACGGATCGTTTACACGTGGCCGTGGTTATCCACGATTCGACTTGGAAAGAGCAGAGGCGCAGAGATACGAGGATTTGGAACGATTTTCGACGAGGTATGAATAAAAGGGACGCGATTAAACGGGATGCAAGGTGTAAATGAATCAGCCGTGAAGCTCGTTCCGAGTTTATCTTATTACCCCGGTGGCCGAAAATCATCCGAGTGTCACGAGGCTGGGGAGCACGTGTTCGATAATGTGTTCGAGCCACGAATTCAATATCGGAAGGAGGTTCTAGCTGCATCCAGCGGTGAATTTCAATCAAACTGGTACCGGTACTGGCTCGTCACGAGCTCGTCGCGGATGAATAATGGCCGATTCTTGATCGACGTGCTAAATGTAGCGTGAACGTATCGTGTTATACAGATCGATATACCCTGGTCTTAAGTAACCTGGGATAAGCGATCGAGATAAATTGACGAGATTTACCCATGATTTAGGGAAAAAGTCTCAAGGTTGATCGACTCAACCGAATCAACCTTGAAGAACGCGTCCTCCTTCCAAGAAGCAGGAAAGAGGAGGATAAAAAAAAAAAAAATAGGAAGATCTCCGAGTTATAATATCAAAAATTCCTCTCTTTCGCCCAATAATATCTCAAACGCGTGCATTTCTTTATACACATAATTTTCTCAATGTCGGGCGGAAGAAGGGTGGCGTGCGGAACAGAAAGATACGAGGAGAGGGGCGATAAACTTTGGCCAGAAAAATAACATAAATCGTAGAGAAAGCGAGGGGAGAGCAGGGATCAGGGAGAGAAGGCGGAAGGTTGGAAACGAGGAGGAGGTCGGCCGTGGTGCGTTTGTGTGGATGGCAGATCGGGGTGGACTGGAGGGAGGGGGTGGCCCAGGACACACTGGAGCCAGGAATTTTAACAGGCGAGGTGTAGGCGAAATAGTTGGGGGTTGCTTGGCCGGCCGCCAGAGTTCTCGGCTCGCATCGGACAACTATTTTCCTAATTTTCCATTTCTTTCGCAGTTTGACCTTCCATCCGCTTTTTTTCTTTCTCTCTTTTTTTTTTAAATCATTCGTCCAATTTTCGAATCGAGCGAGATAAAAATTTTAAAGCCCGCGTTTGCTTGTTTCGTATGTTTCTTTCGTGTGTGTTTTATATATATATATATATAATGTACAAAGCATGTATAGCATATATCCTGAGTGTAACGTGTACTCGCTAGCCAATTCGTAGCACGTTGTTTACATTAAAAAACTGTGCCTGCGATGCCAAGAGTGTGCTTCGATCCAGTCTTACGTTGCAGCGAGATTAGAGATGTTTGCAAAACGGCAAAAATACTCGAATCCATACTAGAACTGGAACGAACAATTAGCTGGAAACCAAGTTACGGTAGATGTATACAGCCTCTCTAGAGAGAACACTGTTCATCGTTTGCAGACGAATTTGCATGAATTTAATCTGTTCGCAGTTTACAGTTAATAGTGATCGAGTTTCGAAAATTTATTTGAAAATAACACCTGAGAACCTGTACACAACCTTCTCGATTGGAAAAGAATTTGTACTATGGATATGGAAATATATATATATATATATACAGATGTAAGAACTACTTACGATTGGAATTTACAAATACATCGTGTAAGATGAAATGAATGAAAAAGAGAGGGAGATGGAAACGATTTTTTTTTAACAAGCCACAAACAAATAATAAAATAAATAGCCGGATAAAAGGTAACGCGTGTATAGGTGAATTTTGTGTGCGATTAACTACCTCAAACAAACAAACGACATCGGGTCTCGAAGCGGAGAGAATTTTAATCGCGCGACTGTTCCTGTTTCGATGGTCGCATTACGTACGTATAGATGTGTCGTGTGGACGTTCCATTTCGTAACGAAGAGAGAGAGAGAGAGTATCGTTTCATTATGCTAACGAAATATCGATTATGATAATGCATATGGGTCCGATTGGACCGCGTGATATTGTTACGACAAGGAGGATGATACGTGATCGACCTGGTCGCGGCACGTTAACGCGTTTGTTCCAAACAATTTTTCTTTTTTTTCAGATTATCGTGCATAAATGCAATCAAGTGAAATCAACGTCGATCTTAAAAATGTTTATCTTTATTATGACAACTGGTTTAAAAAAATCACGTAATAAACACGATCCTTGGAACGATGATTATCGAAAACTTATCTTTTCTTTTTTTCTTTTTTTCCCCTATTTCTTTCTTCTCTTTATTTATTAATCGCACGCAAATATGAAATATCTCGTTAACTGTATTCGCGTACTGTCATCGATCTAACGAGGTGATTAATGGGAACCATTCCCGTCGAAACTAACGTATTTCATCCACGTTACGAATCATTAACGAAATCGAATAATCGATACTGCGATTCTAGGTAACAGCTATTAATTCTCTCGTTCGTATTCTATATATATATATATATCCCGTCGTTCGACAAAAAGATTCTTTATACGTTCGTAATATAAATTAACTACGGGAGGTAAGAGATCATATCCGATCAACCGTCGGAAAAATCCTCATTCGTCCTCGTTTCGCTTCGGTGGAATGAAAATAACAATATCGTTCGCCTCTATTTAGAGATTTTATTAAACGTGGAAAACGGGGAAACTCTACGAATCGGCAACCTCTACGAAAGAGCATTCTCCATTGTCGGATGTTTGCGCAATTTAAAGTAGCAGAAGGAAAGAAAGGGAGAAAAAAAAAAAAATAATCTGCATCTCTCTCTAAAGTTAAAAACTGGAAGTGCGCGATAAAGGGGTGAAATTAGCTCGGCTAATTTTTGTCGGCTAATTAACCGTCGTTTGGAAACGACGCGGACGATGCGTGGCCCCGCAATGCGAGATCCGTTCCGTATTTAAAACGAAGCGTATTTTTCATCGTCGAGTTAAAACAGGGATCGAAAATCGAATCATAGATCCCTGAAGACGATCGCATAGCACAACTTAATAGAGATACGATCGATTCGAATTTTAATAAACGATCCATTTTCGATAGAGCGTAATCGCAGTGTCGAAATCAGAGAATTAAGAGAGAATTAAGAATAATAATAATTGCTTGGAAAAACAAGCTTGGTTCGCTAAGGATAAAAACACGAGTTTAATCGATTCGAGTTTTTAGCTGAACGTAACCGCGACGAAATCGAGTAGATTTAAGAGGACAGCCGCTGTGTAAATATAATTACAAAAAATACGATCGTTCGACTTTTTAATAATCCGATTTAACCTTCGATAGAGTAGAGCAAAAGTTGGTTAACACGGTAAATCATTTATCACGATTACCAAGTGGAGAGGGGGAGAGGTTCGGTCGCCAACTGTTGGGATAATCGCGACTCTGTTCCGCTCTGTACACAGGTTTACGCGCGAATACAGCGAAGCGCGATCCGTTTTCGATTCCGTTCAAACGTACGCCTAGCACGGAATCGAAGGACGGAACGAGGGTAAATATTTGGGTGGAAGGGATCAGAGGTATGGTGTCGCGATTTAACGTACGAGGCGATTTGTTTGGAAGATAGTTTTTTTTGTAGTAAGCACGAACGATAGATTATCGAACGATTATTGAAACGTTGAACGCAGTGTGTCGTGTCACAGGAAGAAGGATTACGATGGGCCAAGGCGTACTCGATGATGGAGAAGCAGCAAAAGAGGGCGGTGCACGAGGAAAGCCGAGCTTATACCATGATCAAGGTACGTGAGTAATTGTATCCTGACAACCGGCAAATTCCTTTTGATACACGAGCCTCGATGTCCAATCCGCGCCATCCTTTAACACAGCGAGAATCAAAACACCGATTATATTATTGATCTTTAATATCGTCGAGTAGGAATGATCGAACGCGATACGCGTTACACAATTGCCAATATTTTTCATTATCGCGATGGAATATTGTATGGAACGCGATAATGATTAACTGAATTGATAAGCTTCTATTATATGTAAGTATTGATCCATATAACCGGTAATACGTACGTGTAAATGGAAATGCGTTGTTTCGCGCGCCTTTGCTACAAGAATAAATTAATTAAATCTAATGTATTAAATATTATAGACAATTATTGGGGTTATTATCAGACTCGTGTATTTCTACGTATGATACTTTTAATTTTTTTTTTTTTTAAATCGATATTCATCGTCAAGCGATAAATAAATTTCTTCCTTTTGACTCTCGCCCGAGCAAATATAAAACATCGATGTGCCATTCCTTTCGATCACTCGATTAAATTTCTTTCTCGATGGCAAAGATTTCGAACGAGAAAATTATCGAGGATTTCTTTCGGAGAAAGGGGAAATTTTTCCAAAGCTTCGAACGATATTTTACTCGTACGTTCGTTTTCGTTCTTCCATCCCCTCTCCTCTCTCGTAAATTGTGCGGCGTAATAAATCACGTATCATCGAACGATTCCGCGGTGTTGCTACGATTCCTCTGAATTATATCGATTCTTTCGTCACCATCTGTCGTAAATCCTCGTCGCTAATAAATTTCTCTCTTCTTTTTCCACCAAATGGAAACATCGACGAAACATCCACCTCTCCATTGAATTGTTAAACTATCGATATTGTTATCGATAACATGTATATATCCAATAACGAGTGAAAATAATTCTTATTATCTCTTCTTCCGAGTTATTATATATATCAAAGATATATTCTTTTTTATACTTAATATTAATAATATGCCGTAGAACATAAAATTCACTCGTTTCATTTTCTCGGCTAAATTTCTTCGCTCTTGGTTTCGCAATATAACGCGTAATAAATCCACGCACAACGTGGATCTCTCTCATAAAACCGTCTGTTTGTATCTATTCGCGCAAGGATTTTATCGTAACAATAATGGGAAACGTCGAAACGTATTACGAATAACAGGAGCACACATTGGTGTGTCTCCACCAATCTGTCCGTCATTGTCGTCACGACTTTCGTCCGAACGAAGCCGATAAGGCTCGAGGCGGATAATTGCGCCCCCTCCTCTGCGAGTGAAATTGGAACGCGTCCCGATCGATCGATACGATCGAAATTATTATTAATTTCGCTGGATTCGAGCTCTCGTCTTGGAGAATCGCGGGGCCAAGCACTTGGGACCCCTCTCGAATATCAATTAATACGTTTCGAAACTCGGTTCAAGCACGAGGGAGGGAGAGGGTGGAGCGTTGCGATCAAGCCGCGATGACTGATCGACCCGGCTTTGCGCTCCCTCCTCGCCGATATAACGGACGAGTACAAATTATGTTTGCATTCGAAAGACGTATTGTTCGAGTTCCTCCACGGTGAGGAACTGAAGTTCGAGGATTAAACGTTTGTTTTGATTCACGGAGAGGATCTTCCGGACACCGCGTTCATCGATGATTAATAATGAAAGAGAAAAATATTTTAAAAGTGGATCGATGACGTTATTCGCGATCTTCAAGATAAAGATGAAACCTGATTTTTATCTTGCGTAATTAAGGAAAAAATAGAAATTATATATAGAAATATAAATTAATAGGAAGAGAATTGAACAAATATTTTTGCAAGTGTACTTTTAATGCCTCGAGAGGTGAGCAGGATCTTGAAAATAAAGAAATTTATTTAATGAATCTGACTTTTACCTTGCTCTTGGAAATTGACTAAAGGAAAAATACAAATTATATATACAAATATAAATTGAACAAATATTTTTGCAAGTGTTCTTTCGATGCCTCGAGAGATGAGCAAGATATACATTTTGAAAATAAAGGAATTTGTTTAACGAATCTGATTTTTATCTTGCACGTGGAAACTCATTAAGGAAAGAATACAAATTATATGTACAAATATAAATTGAACAAATATTTTTGCAAATATTCTTTCGATGCCTCGAGAGATGAGCAGGATATACATTTTGAAAATAAAGGAATTTGTTTAATGAATCTGATTTTTATCTTGCACGTGGAAACTGATTAAGGGAAAAATTATATAAAAATATAAATAGGAAGAATTGAACAAATATTTCTGCAAGTGTACTATTAATACCTCGAGAGATGAGCAGGATCTTGAAAATAAAGAAATTTATTTAATGAATCTGATTTTTATCTTGCTCTTGGAAATTGATTAAAGGAAAAATACAAATTATATATACAAATATAAATTGAACAAATATTTTTGCAAATATTCTTTCGATGCCTCGAGAGATGAGCAGGATATACATTTTGAAAATAAAGGAATTTGTTTAATGAATCTGATTTTTATCTTGCACGTGGAAACTGATTAAGGGAAAAATTATATAAAAATATAAATAGGAAGAATTGAACAAATATTTCTGCAAGTGTACTATTAATACCTCGAGAGATGAGCAGGATCTTGAAAATAAAGAAATTTATTTAATGAATCTGACTTTTATCTTGCTCTTGGAAATTGACTAAAGGAAAAATACAAATTATATGTACAAATATAAACAAATATTTTTGCAAGTATATTTTCGATTGTTTTGACGCTTCGAGAGACAATCAGCAAAGGGAGAGACAGAGAGAGGATACGGTGTCGGGAATTTAGAGATCGAATCGCAGATTTTTCTCATTTTTTCGTGGAACGTAAATGCGTTCCGAAGAAATCTGGCCCAGCCGCAAGCCGAGACGTCGGGTACACTTGACCTACTTGTCGATTCTGTCGAAATCTCAATCCCGATATTAACCGTGATAGTGCCGATTTAATCCATAAGTATTCGCGGTATGCGGCCCGACGTGATCGATGGAACGTCGGCGAGCTAATTAGGTTGCCTCTACCCGTCGAATAAGCCATCGTGGCCGGATATCTGCCACTCGTTATCTCGATAAAAAATAGCGAGATCGAGAAAACGGAGAAGTAACATTCTCGAAAACTCATTTATACTTGCTCTACTGTAGTTGCTTTGGGAATAATTTATAACGTTATCGATACTTGCAACTTGTTATTTCGAAAAGAACGGGAAAGTATTCGAAAGTTAAAATTGTAGAAATATACGTGTTAAATTCTTAAAAGTACTTTTCTAATTAATATAAGATACATTTTGCGGATTTTATTATTATTCTTTATTCGTTTCCAGGAAAAAATTGTCTTCAAAACACGAAAGAATACGAAAACTTTGATAATGGATTTCCCTTTAAAAGAGATTTTCTAAAAAATTCTGCACGAATCGTGTATCTATTTATCCATTTTTCGAATTTCCTTGTAAAATAATGAACACGAGCCACTTTTCACGCATACACAAAGTTAAAAAAAAGAAAGTCTCACAAATGTGTACATCAGTGAAACATAGGAGGAGGATTCTGATCAAGATAAATTCACCACGTCCCATTCACCAACCTACTCCCCATTTTTCGACTCGTTTTTCGTTTCGATTTCAAGATCTCTTAGAAGGAAGGAGGAAGCTTGAATGAACGCGAGACATGACGTCGCGAAGGGAGGAAGTTTATAAATGATTCGCGGTTTAAATATCGTGGATTTGTGAGAGAAGAAAAATGTGTACGTGCGTGCATGCACGATCAGGCCGTGTGTACATAAACGGATGATGGAATCTCTTAAGGTGTGAATGGTGCGTGACGAGCGAGAAGAAACCAAACAAACCGAGTATGAAAACGAGGCTTTTCCGGATAAAGTATTATGGTTTTCAACATCTAAAAATAGTCTATCTACCTCTGCACACAAGTCTCGCTTGTGAAGAATAAGAAATTGCTTGCAACTTTGGGGGATTAATTGTCTTTGGACGATGGAATTTCGAAATTCGGGACAACGCAAAGGGGACGCAATTTTTCGTATGCGAAAGACAGCCGATGATCCGATAACGAAATCGAATCGAAATTTCTGGAGCGCGAATGTTATTCAGTGAATTTTATTTCATTTCGTTTTTTTTGTTTTTGCTTTGCGAATTGAAGATATTTCTATAATTTTAGGATAAATTTAGTTTGGTAAAGGGATTTTTTTCGAACAAATTTGGCTTTGTCTTTTGAATAACATCGCGTTATTTAAAATTGTGCGTGTATTTATTTGATATAAATTTCGATTCGATTCGATAGAGAGCAAGGATGGAGAGCGGTTTTCAATGGTTTTCAATCGTTTGTTCGAATAAATAGAAAGATAAATATACTATTAAAAATCGTTCACATTGCGCGTGAAAAGTTTGTATCAAAAACATCTCTAACCTAAAGAATTCCACTAAACAAATTTCGTTTCGATTGATTAGTTTCGCATAAGGGAGAGAGAAAGAGAGAGAGAGAGAGAGAGAGAGAGAGAGAGAGAGAGAGAGAGAGAGAAAAAGAGAGAGAGGCGAACGTTGCGTTGTTAAAATCGTTAGATCGTGTGTTTGAAAAGTTTCGTTATCTATCTCGATTGAAGTGGAGATCGTTTCAGTGAAACAGAATTGGGGCGGCAATGGAACTAGGAACGGGAAAAGAAGTGGAAGAAAAATGGAAAGACGGGAAACGATTTGTTCTACTTTAATCTAAGGGGGAGGTTAAATATGAGAAGTTTCATTAAACTGCTTCTCATGTTATGTCTCTTGTATTTATCAAATATCCTTTCGCTGTATTATCATAAAATTGGACTTCCCTTGTTTGTACGTACGTAACATCATTTCAACGATTCTCAAAATTGAACCGAAAACTTTGTTGCCATCGACGTGAGAATCAAGAGAGCTTGCACAATCCTACGTAATTCACATATCGACTTATATCAATTTCGAAAGGAGAAATAC